GATCTTATTTTTCCTGGTCATGTTGTTTGCTTCCGACTGGTCTGCAGCTCAGATATCCTACTCTATCAACGAGGAGACGGACAAAGGAACTGTTGTCGGGAACCTCGCAAAGGATTTAAACATCAACGTCCGAAATCTGCAAACCAGGAATCTAAATATTGTGTCGGGACACAGTAAGAAATACTTCGAAGCTAATTTTAAAACAGGAGAGCTTTATGTCAGTGAGAGGATAGATCGTGAAGAGCTTTGTCTGAACACTGTTAAATGCACTTTAAATATCGAGGCCATACTGAGTGATCCTGTAGTGCATAAACGCATCGAGGTGGTGATTAATGACGTGAACGACAACGCGCCTACTTTTGTGGAGAAATATTTTTCTGTCAATATTTCTGAATCTTCACCCGCGGGCGAGCGCTTCTTGCTGCCTTTGGCAGTCGATGCAGATTCAGGCAGCAATTCTGTAAAGACGTACAAGCTCAGTGTAAATGAGTACTTTTCCCTCGACGTACAGAGCGACGGAGAACACAGCGCATCTGCTGAATTAGTGCTGCTGAAAGCTTTAGACAGAGAGAAACAAGCAACTATTGAACTGACACTCACTGCTGTAGATGGAGGCAGACCTCCAAAATCTGGAACTGTTCAAATTATTATTAATGTTTTAGATGCCAATGATAATACGCCGTCTTTTAGCAAATCGCTTTATAAAGCTAGCGTTTACGAAAATGCTCCAATCGGATATACAGTTATTCAGCTTAATGCCACAGATTTAGACGAAGGGGAAAACGCAAGACTAATTTACTCTTTAGTCAAACGTGCCAGCTTCAATCCCGCCGAGATTTTCTTCATGAATTCTGAAACAGGTGCAATAAGCATTAAAAGTGAACTAGATTATGAAACACAGTCAGCTTATGAAATACACGTGCAGGCAACAGACAGAAGTTCCTTACCTCGGAGATCAAATGCAAAGCTTTTGATTGAAGTAGTGGATGTTAACGATAACACCCCAGAAATAGTTGTAACATCTCTGATGAACCCAGTTAAAGAAGATGCAGAAATAGGAAGCGTTGTCGCTATGGTTACAGTGACGGATAAAGATGGCGGCAAAAACGGTCAAACTCGATGTAAGCTTGTTGGTTCAACTCCTTTTAAGCTAAATGCTAATTATAAGAGTTATTACTCCTTAGTTGTAGATGGACCCCTTGATCGAGAAACACATGCTTTTTACAATATCACAATTATAGCTAATGATGACGGAGTCCCGTCTCTGTCCAGCACCAGCGTCATCAATGTACATATTTCTGATGTCAATGACAACGCGCCCAGTTTCCTTGATTCTGTGATCAATATTTACGTGAAAGAAAACAGCCCAGTTGGAGCCAGTATTTTTACTATAAGCGCAGTCGATGTTGATATTAATGAAAACGCCAGAGTAACTTATTCTGTAGATTCTGATAATAAACATAACCCCGTGTCTTCGTTTATAAACATCAACTCAGATACTGGAGAAATTATTACTCTGCAGTCTTTTAATTATGAAGAAATGAAAACATTTCAGTTTAAAGTCAAGGCCATTGNGGTCACTCTGCAGAGTGGATCCCGTGTGATATTTACCACAAAATGGACGTGTTCTAAAATTATTATTTTTTTTTTTCGTTTGTTTGGCAGCAATGGGACGTGGGACGATTACAGGCGCGATCTGGATAAACATCGGGGCTCTGCTTTATTTCTGTGGTGCGTGCACAGCGCTGCTCTCGTTCTCCGTTCCCGAGGAGGTTGACAAAGGAACAGTGGTGGGAAATCTTGCTAAGCATTTACAAGTCTCCGTCAGTGAGTTGGAACGACGGGATTTACGAATTGTCTCTGGGAGCTTTAAGAAGTATTTCGACTTGGATTTGAAAGCTGGTACACTGTATGTTTGCGACCGGATTGATCGCGAAGAGCTTTGTCCGAACTCGGATAAATGTTTCCTAAATATAGAAGCCATGTTGAGCAATCCGTTGCATCTGCATCGCATAGAGGTTCAGATAACGGACATCAATGATAATGCACCATATTTTCTTGAAAAGGAAATTAACTTGAATATTTCAGAATCGTCTTCTCCCGGAGAGAGGTATTTGCTGCCGATGGCAAACGACGCGGATTCGGGGAATAACGGGGTGAAAAGCTACAAGCTTACTTCCAATGAATATTTCTTGCTTGACATACAAAGCGGAGGACAGCACAGTGAGTCTGCCGAATTAGTGCTGCAAAAGTCGTTAGACAGAGAAAAAAATGCTGCGAGTCACCTAACATTAATTGCTCTCGACGGAGGTAAACCTGCCAAAACGGGGGCATTAAAGATCACTGTACATATAATGGATATTAACGACAATGCTCCAGTGTTTAGTCAGCCGTTGTATAAAGTCAAGGTTCTTGAAAACACCCCTTTGCAAACCTCCATTCTCACTGTCAGTGCTGAAGATTCAGATGAGGGAATAAACAGTGAAATATTATATTCATTTATTAGAAGAGGAAATATTAATCCTGATGCTTTATTCTCAATAAACCCAGACACAGGGGAAATAACTGTGATAGGACAGATCGACTATGAGGAAACTGCAGCCTATGATATCCGCTTGCAAGCCAGAGATAAAGGTTCGCCTTCAAGGAGTGTTCACGGTAAAATGTTAGTGGAAGTGATTGACGTTAATGACAACATACCCGAGGTTGTGGTCACGTCCTTGATGAGTCCAGTTAAAGAAGATGCTGAGACAGGAACTGTCGTTGCTCTGGTGACTGTGACCGACAAAGATGGGGGTAAAAATGGTATTACCAGTGCTCAGGTCATTGGGTCGGTTCCTTTTAAGCTCAAGCTTAATTATAAAAATTATTATTCATTAACAGTTGATGGACCTCTTGATAGAGAGAGTGTTTCTCACTACAATGTCACAATTTATGCTATAGATGAGGGCAATCCACCCCTCTCTAGTACCAGTGTTATCCCTGTTCACATTTCAGATGTTAACGATAATGCCCCTAATTTCTCAGATTCTGTAATAAATGTATATATCAAAGAGAATAGTGCAGTCGGAACCAATATTGGAATTATAATGGCACAGGACCCAGATGAGGCAGAAAATGCTAAAATAATGTATTCATTATTAGGCAACTTTTCAAAAAATATTCCAATATCTTCAGTTTTAAACATAAACTCTCAAACTGGAGAAATTATATGTCTAGAGTCTTTTAACTACGAGGAGTTAAAAACATTTCAGTTTAAAGTTCAAGCAAATGATTCTGGTGTTCCTCAGCAAAGTAGTAATGTGACTGTTAATGTTTTAATCCTGGATGAAAATGATAATAATCCAACTATTTTAGCTCCTTATTCTGAGCACGGCTCTGTTAACAGTGAGACCATCCCTTATTCTGCTGAAGCGGGATACTTTGTAGCAAATATCAGGTCTGTGGACGCAGATTCTGGATACAATGCGCTGCTTTCTTATCACCTGTCTGAGCCCAAAGGAAACAACTTGTTCAGGATCGGAACCAGCACCGGAGAAATCAGGACTAAGAGGAGAATGAGTGACAATGACCTGAAAACTCATCCATTGGTTGTGCTGGTTTCTGATAATGGAGAACCTTCTCTGTCAGCCACTGTTTCTATTGACGTGATGGTGGTTGAAACCACAGCTGACGTCCAGACTCAGTTCAGACATTTGCCTATGAAGGAGGACAACTTCTCTGATTTGAACTTGTATCTACTGGTCGCCATCGTGTCAGTGTCTGTGATCTTTCTGCTGAGTCTCATCAGTTTAATAGCTGTCAAATGCCACAGGACAGACAGTGATTTCAGCAGGTACAGCGCCCCCATGATCACCACCCACCCTGACGGGAGCTGGTCTTACTCTAAAGCTACTCGGCAGTATGACGTGTGTTTCAGCTCAGACACACTGAAGAGTGACGTAGTGGTTTTCCCCGCCCCGTTTCCACCTGTAGATGCTGAACTGATCAGTATTAACGGAACAGACACTTTTACCAGAACTCAGACTTTACCAAACAAAGAGAAGGTAAGAAATTCAGAAACACTATTTCAATTCCCTGTGCCCCACATAGCAATTATGCAATTATTGTTATGCCGAGTTTAAAACTTTTCATTATATTTGTAAATTTTTAATTGTTTGTTTTAGTCAGTCAAATATATTTATTCTTTCATGTTTCATTCTTGAAAGTGTTTTTGGTTCACAGTGAATGACAAATGTATCCATTATGATCTAACGCTTCATCACCACAATAGCACAAAGTAATTTTTGCCAATCATATTTTGGCAACAAAAATGAAGAAAATCCACACCTCTTTTTTTGTTAAATGATGATTTAGGTAATAAATAAATAAATAAATAAATAAATAAATAAATAAATAAATAAATAAATAATAATAATAAAAAAAACACTTTTGATTAAAAAAAATACACCTTTTTTAGGAAGGTGACAACTTTTGAATTCTTAACTTTGGCACTCAGACACTTCAGCACTTCTTGTTTACCTCCTTTTCTTAAAATAAATTCCTGAATAATTCAATCAATTTTGTCTGGGATGACTTAAAGTCACAATAATAGTTGAATACACTTTTCATTACATTTTATTTCACTTCAAATCGCCACAAGATGTCACTGCGAACTGTTCGCGTTTTAACACATTTTATCCATGTGCAATGCTCCTCCCTTTAGAGAGGGCTTCAAGCTCTTTGTTTGGGAAGCCGTGAGTAACGTCCTCACCGCACTGAGAGGCTGTGATCTGACTCTACAGTCATGGAAATATGTTAACCATGGAATGATTTATTACAATTTTTTCCGTGTCTTTTGTCAGATCGGGACATAATGGGACGAGGGAAGACGGCCCCGACCTGGATTTATAATTTGTTTTTTGTTTTGCGCATCCTGATGGTCGCAGAGGCACAAACTGTATATTCGATTATGGAAGAGTCGAGTCCGGGTACGGTTGTTGGAAATCTGGCGAAGGATTTACAGCTAGATATACAAGAACTGGAAAAAAGACACTTTCAGATTTCGGGACCTAATAAGAAGTATTTTGATGTGAACATTAAGACTGGAGCACTTCTGGTGAAAGACAGGATCGACCGGGAGGAGCTCTGTGCTCGTAAAGCCAAATGCTCCCTGGAAGTGGAAGCCATTGTGAATTCTCCGCTAAATCTTTATCGGTTTGAGGTTAAAATTGTGGATATAAACGACAACACGCCCTCGTTCAGGATACCGGAGATTGATCTGAACGTGTCTGAATCGGCTTTTACTGGAGAAAAATTTGCTCTTCCGAAGGCATTTGACGCAGACGTCGGTGTTTATTCAGTAAAGGCTTATAAACTAAGCCATAATGAACATTTTGCACTGGATGCACAAAACGGAGGAGAGCCAACCGTGTCTGTTGAAATGATTCTGCAGAAACCTTTAGATCGAGAAAAACAGTCAATTATAAAATTAACTCTGACAGCTACAGATGGAGGTAAACCTGTTAAATCAGGGACGTTACTCATCAATGTTAATGTGCAAGACGTTAATGATAACATCCCGGTATTTGACAAACCTCTGTACAAAGTCAGAGTGCCTGAAAATACCCCGTTAGGCGGAGCTGTAATTTCTGTGCATGCTCGAGATTTAGATGAAGGTCTCAATGGAGAAATACAGTATTCTTTAATCAACCAGGATAATGATAACAATGTTGATAAATTTGCTATCAATCACTTAACGGGAGAAATCAGTGTAAAAGGTGAACTGGACCACGAAAAAAACAACGTGGTTGAACTCCGAGTCCAAGCAAAAGACAAAAGTCCAATCCCAAGAGCGTCACATTGTAAAGTACTTATTGAAATAACAGATATAAACGACAATCCACCAGAAATATCTGTAACATCGTTAGTCAATGTTCTGAGGGAGGATGCACCTCTCGACACAATGGTTGGACTTTTAACGGTGAAAGATCTGGACGCAGATAAAAACGGTGTCGTTCAGGTGAAAATAGTTAATGCCGTACCCTTTAAAATTAAAAACACGTATAAAAATCATTACGCTTTAGTGGTGGATGGAGCGCTTGACAGAGAAAAGGTTTCTGTATATAATGTAACAATAACAGCGATGGACGAAGGTCTGCCGCCTCTCTCCAGCACCAGCGTAATTATGGTTCATGTGTCAGATGTCAATGACAACGCGCCACGTTTTAAGGAAAGAGTGATCAATATTTTTGTGAAAGAGAACGGACCAGTTGGTGATGTGGTTTATACCTTAATTGCGGATGATCCTGATGTAGACGAAAATGGAAAGGTGACGTTTTCGGTAGTTAGTAATAATAATAATAATAATGAAAGACATAATGGCATAGGATCAGTGGTTAACGTGAAAGCAGACACTGGAGAAATAATCAGTCTGCAGTCTTTTAACTATGAGGAGTTAAAGACGTTTCAGTTTATGGTTCAGGCCACAGACTCTGGGGTTCCTCCGCTCAGCAGCAACGTGACTGTTAACATTTTAATTCTGGATGAAAATGATAATAATCCAACTATTTTAGCTCCTTATT